CCCTCTAAATCCGCCCCTGAGCGGGTCCCCCACTGGGTCTTCCGATCCAGTGACTTTAGTGAAATCGAAACCACCCCGGGCCCCTTTCCCAGCGTCCCTTCTCCTCCCTTCCCCAGCCGACAGCGAACGGAAGGGAGGGGGGGGGGGGGGGGGGTGGAGAGGTGTGAGGGATGTTGGTCGAATATATTTCGGGGGGGGGGGGGGGTGTCGAACCCCGGAACCCTCCCCCTGGGTACGGCCCTGGCCTCTAGGACGGGGGACCCCCCTGAGAGGCGGTCTGCAAGTGCTGACAAGGGCACTTGAAGTAAACAAGCTACAGGAAGTGATATTAGGCGGGGGCCACAACTTCTCACGCTGCTTGAAGTTCTATAATCTGGAGTTACATTGAATTGAAGGGGGCAGGAAGCTGTGAGGCTTCCCGACTTTTCTTCTGCCCCCTCCGCAATTGTTATCCAAAAATAATACAAAAAAAAGCCGTTTACAACTTCCTGTAACGCCGAATTAGAGCGCAGCTCTCGAAGAGGAGGAGGAGGGAAGGGTACTGAAGGGAGGGTATACCCCTCATTCTTCAATCTCCTTCGGGGGCGGGTCACCTGACGTCGGGGGAGGGGGTCACGTGACCTGGGGAGGGGGGTCACGTGACTTCTGGGGGGGGTCACGTGACCTTGGGGAAGGGGGTCGCGTGACCCTGAGAGGGAGGGGTCGCGTGACCTCGCGGTTACGCCGACGGCGACGGCGACGCCGACGCTGCTCAAGCCGGAAACAGGCCCCTAACAGCTGCGCTCAAAAAAAAACGCGAAGGCAAGGGGGCCCCCTTCCTCTGCTCTTAGGGCTGTGGCCCTGGGCTGCAGCCTCCTTAGCCCCCCCCCCCCCCCCCCCCCCATATCCCTTTAATCCAGCGCTGCACGACGCGACTGACACCACCCAGCCGCGATGCCTGCGACGCCGACGGCTCGTCGCTCTGTGATGACTAGGAGGACGTCGCCACCTCGCGGCGAGCGACGGAGTTAGCGTAATTATACTCGTACTTCTGGGAAGCGAGTCGAATGAGACGACCGGACCGGAGAAGCCTTCGCGCGGGCTGTGGCCGCTCACGTGTCAATTTTCCCGCTCAACTTTACGGGTAAACTTTCGGTGAACACAACGTGACGTCAATTTTCCCGCTAAATCTAGAGGGGAGACTGAATTGGTGTGTGGGTCACGGACACGAAGCCATGTGACGTCACTTTTCCCACTAAATTTGATGGGGAAACTGAATTGGTGTTGAGGACACTTGACGTCAATTTCCCGCTAAATCAAACGGGGAAACTGAACTCATGTGACGTCACAAGCCAGGGCTTCGCGAAATCCAGAACTAAAAAAACATTTCACGTTAAAAAAAAAAAAAAAACGGTTTGAGGAGTTGAATACGAGTCTAGGAATACCCTTAAAGGGGCCCTGCAATGACATATTTTTACTGGTTTTTAATTTGCACCGAACCTGAGCGCACTGAACGTAGTAACTTATAGCGAGTTCGTTTCACGGCACTCGTGCCCACGCGTGCCCACTCGCAGCGTGGAACAGGTTCGTTTCAGCCGGCACTCCACGAGTGGTTGCACTCTCCGAGTTCGTTTCAGCGCTGACACCCCACGCGTGCATGCACTCGCTGCACCGAGAAAATCGGGAGTGCGCCAAAATGCAATCCCGTCATGCCTCGCTCCGGCGGGGCCGGCGAGGAGCGGGAGCAGGCGACGAGGGTTCGTCTGCTACGATGTGTCGCGGAACCGAACGGAACAAAAAGTAGATTTTCTGATAGAAATCGCGTCCCGCGGGCCACGAAATCAAACGCGAGCTTGAATTGTGAGCGTCTGCTATTTCCCGAAGGAAGCAATTGACAACCCGTGATTTATTTGCAGGTTTTAAATCGCTCTGTTGCCGTACAAACGCTGAAATATACCAGTGTGTAAAGAAATGCTCAGAACAAACGTAACAACAGCCCCCGAGATGTCTATCATCATCCGTGTGCGGGTGGAAAAATTAACATTTGTCGGCAACACTCCCCCAGCAGAAACCTCTGTCTGCCCAATAAGCATCAGAGAAAGCTAAAGATGGTAACTTTACCCGAGGATTGGGCAACATCATCATGTTTAACATTTACCTACGTCGGCTAACTTGCCCCGTCGTATTTTGTTCGAGAAAGCTCTCGTTCTTGACGCCCTCACCAAGGCTAATTTCTGATCCACCTATAATGACAATCCAAATCGAAAGTCCCAGTTTTGCTGGATATTCCAACAGGCTAGTTTTAAGCCGTACCCTTTCAGTGGTTCACGAATAATACCATGCTCAAACGGTTCAAGCTTCTGCTCGGACAGCATCATCAGTTTTCTTCAGTGTAAACGGTTATAAGAATTGAAAGATCGCAACCAGCTGCTTTGTAGACAGCTGGTTGCGGAAAATTACGCCGTCTGTAATTATCTCTACGGCAGCCTAGCTGCTTGAAGTCATCGCAACTATAAACTACAGGTTGCAGCGACCAACGTTTGTAGATAAACGTTGGTAGCCGACTGCATTCTCGCATTCCCACGCATCACTCCGAACAGAAACGCGCTAGTTTCGGTTTGAAGTCGGTACCTTTTCTACAACATAGATGGCGGCAGCGTCAGTCTTCTGCACTCGGTGCATTTGGCGAGTTCGTTTGAGTCCAGTTTTCCGTGCCACACTCTGTGAGTGCGATGCATTCTGGGAGAGAACTCGAACGGTGCCAGTGCGTGTGAAACGAACTCGCTATTAATGACACTTTTCTTTTCTCGAATTTCGCTTTATTTTAAAAGTTACAGGCAAATCAAAATTACAAAAACAAGCAAAAAAATAACCTCCTTCATGACGTCCTTGGTTGCTTGAGTGGCCGCGAACTATACTGCGCGACAACTTTTCTTGGCAATGCAGTGGAAGGTACAGGCCCGCGTCCCCTCTCCCATTTTGAGTGTACGCAGGCTCCCCTCCTCCCCCATTTCCGAGGAGAGGAAGAGAGCCTGCGTACATTCAAAATGGGAGAGGGGACGCGGGACGTACCTTCCACTGCACTGCCAAGAAAAGTTGTCGCGGAGTAGTGAGCTCAGCGAGCGCTCACGGCTGCCGGACGCCGTGTCGACGGCTCGAGAGGGCGCCACTGAAGTATGTTCTGGATAGGCTGTATGAAGCGGGCAGCCAGGGCGGCTCGCATTGCATTTGCTGCGCGATTAAACACTAATTCAACATGACACTTCATCCTACAAACGACAGCAAACACGGGGTAAAGATCAGTTCAGAACGGGAGCCACTTCGGGCTGCCATACCGCCAAAAGGCCAAACCGCAAGCCAAAGCTGCTCGCCGAACGTCTTGGGAACGCTCGGAACCGGTCAGATCCTCGCCGCGTACATCCGGTACCTTTCTACGCTCGCCGCTCGTTGGCGCCTGATCCCACTACACCTTTCTAGTATGCGCCGCCTTTCCCACCGCTTGGTGGCGGGTATGTCGACGGGTCATTTCTTGTTTCCGTACTTTATAAACTGCATTTGTTTCTTTTCTTATCTAAAATAGTGAACAAGAACTACTTTTATAAATAGTTGAAACGGTTCGCGCCACTTATATTTTGTATTTCGACAAAAAAGAAGCTTTTAGCGGCGCTGACCAGTAGTAAGCCAAGGACCTAAGACGTCACATATCGCGCGCTTTCGGCGCCGCGGGTCGCCCCTGTAGGTGGAGGAGGTTTCCGCGTCGTCCTCTCTCCGTGCCCGCTGGCTTGCCCGAACCCCGAGGGACGTGGAAACCGCAAAAAAGGTAGACGCTTAAATATGATTGCAGAGCCCCTTTAAACAGGCCAACTCTTTCATTTAATCTTTTCGGAACTTGCTAGAACAGTTATGCACTGTAATCCCAAAGATAACGTCGATGACAGTGCGGCTACTTTCATGTCTACCGGTAGCTTACTTTTTAATCAGCATATGTATCTTTAACAATTGGCACGTTCTAGCATCCAGGCGGTAATGTCTCTACACCAGACAGCCCCTTTCGTCAGCCATCTGTGTAAGCGGGAAGCCCACAGGCGATGAATTCCAGCGAGCAGAACCATTATTTCCACCCGGTGCTTAGTCCGGGGGGTTCAAATTTTAGGTCAAAAATAAAAGTATTTGCTTAGACAGTTTTGTTCCGAGCAATAAACAGGGGGGGAGGGGGGGGGGGGGGGGCAAACTTTTTGTTGTGAGCAATAAACGAAACTCGAACTACTTTCAATCTATCCGAGTCAAAAGCAGTCCAACTGTACGTAAGGTAGCAGTAGAACAAGCCTACCAAACCGCAACCTGTCTTTCAATTTAACACGCGTTCCATTTGTTTGTTTTTTTTGTTCTTTTTGGGGGGGAGGGGGGGGGGGGGTGGGGGAAGAAGTGCTCGTGTGGCCAGGAGGGAGGCGGGTGGGGAGGGGAGGAAGCCGCGAGCCGCACTTTAACGCGCGAAGAGCCGCATGCGGCTCGCGAGCCGCAGCTTGGCCACCCCCTGATATAGTTCTTTACTCATAAAATCCTAGAACAAACAAATCATTGTATAGTCCGCACCTGTAGATAGTCCGCATCGGGTGAATTTTTAACCTTTGAACACGTATGGTCCGGAAAATACGGTACGTGCTTCTCGTTTAAAGGGGCAGCAGGGTTCCACACAGGGCAAACAGCTTGCTGCAAAGGAACGCAGCACCTCACAGATTCTCACAGTTGCAACCCCTCTCAACAACTCGATAAAAAAAACACAAACACACACAAAAAAAAACAACTGATGACGACGGTTGTGTTGCACTGGAAAGCCCGGCGCGACCGCGAAACCCCTGGGATTAGCGGAAAATTCCCGAGGTCACAATAGACCGATCTCACCGGCCAGTTTGACTACGCCACCGCTGCCGCAATGCATCGTGGGAACTTTAGTCTTTCTGCACATGCGACAACCCCGCTGGAGCTCTGCGCGTGTGGAGCACGAGACGGCACGAGCCCTCGCATGCACGGCCGTCTGCCTCCTGTGAACTAAAGTTATGGCGGCGTCACGCATGCGCCGAACGCTTAGTGAGGTCGGCCTATTACGCCGCTGGAAAGGCGGAGTGATCTTGCTACATTTCTAGTATCCCGTCTGATGCAAGAGACCTGGAGCCTTGCCACAAACCCGGACTTAGGTACCGCTCTTTTTCTCTATTCTAGCCACGCGTCTCCGAAAACTCCAACAACCACGACCTTCCAGTCGACGGTGTTTGAGGAAAACCGAAGAAAGTTCGACGCCTTGAACCATCAGTGGTGGGATCCCGAGGGCGAATTGTTCCCCCTTTCACGGATGAACGCGATACGGGTTCCTCTCATCAGGGACGGGCTGCTCCAGGCCGGGCGGCGGGCGGAGAAGGCGCCGAAGTCCGTCTCGAAGCCGCTAGCGGGTCTCAGGATCCTCGACGTTGGATGCGGAGGCGGGCTACTGTCCGAGGTCGGTGCAAAAAAACTTTCAGGTTTTGAGGAGCGTTTCGATTTATTGCTGACCGCGATGACTACCCGGATCTACTTAATTGTTCATTCCAATTGGTAGGAAGAAATGGCGTCCATACGGTACTCGGTACAAATTCTGGTGGAAATTAGAGTTACTGAATGTTCCCAGAGTACCGAATAGACCTCGTGAGTGATGACGTCACAACATGGCGCTCCGCCCCAGAACAAACCGCGTCTAGGTCCGTTGTTATGGACAAGTGCATACGGCTCGACGCGAGGTTAGAAATTGCCCGATAACAAAGTAATTAATTTTTTGTAAGCATTGTGCCTTCATGAAGACTTACTATCGTCTCAGTACCATAAAGCGAAAGCCCGTAATAAAATTTCACAACCGGTTTTTCCTTGCTAGCAGACGACACGACGGATTCGCGGGTTCAGTGGTTCTTTCAGAGGGAGTACCCGGCTGCTTTGAGTGAAGTTGGTTACACTCGACGAAACTTCTCTCTTCTCGGGGTCAACTTTCTGCGGGATTTGCACAGCTTTGATCGGCACTCGATGTGCGCGAGCGCCTTCCCGTAGAACTCGCTTCCGCAATATTTGAGAAGATGAAAACACTGCGATGCCGAATCACGTACGACGACGACGGGAAGTGCATCAAGGTCGAAGTCTAGGCCAGCACACGTTTGAAGGATTTCACACAGCCCAATTCTTCAAAGCACATTTGTGTGATCGAACGAACTGTCCGTAACATATAAACGTATGTTGCCGCGTGCATGACCGAGAAGGAACGCTTTCTCCTTTACCTCCACCAGAAATGTCACCGATGGAAAAGGCTCGACGAGTGTAAACTGAAGATAAAGGGTTAATCGGCGAACTTGTGCCGGGAATAAAAGAAGGAATGCGTCGAAACAGCAGCAGCGTGTACGTCGCGGCGTCGGCGTGACAGCTGGCTGGAGCGAGAGTGAATGTGTTTCGCAAAGCTCGCGCTCCACTTCTTATCCACTACACTCGGCATATCGAACATCGACCTAGAATGCTCGAAACTGACCAGGCAAGGTCATTCTGGCCTCCTGATATAGTTTACACTCAGGCTAAAAGTAAAAACAAATCTTCTATTAAAAAAACAATATATATATATATACATATATATATATGTATATATATATATATATAGGGTGTCACAAAAGAAAATTTACACGGTCGTTTTTACCGCACAAATAAGCTAGACATCGCCGAACGCTCATTCTCCGTTCAAAGGTAGAGCTAGAGGTCACAACCAGATGCCGAAGTTTCAGCCCGATCCGATAACTTAATCAAAAGTTATAGGCGATTTTCTGAAAATTTCAATGGGAAAATGGAGCCCATTTTTGCCAGTTTTCGGTTTTTGGTGCCATAGAGCCCCATGTGTTTGAAAACTCCGTCGGCCGCTATTTTCCCATTGGAATTTTCAGAAAATCACTTATAACTTTTGGTTAAGTTATCGCATCGGGCTGAAACTTCGGCATCTGGTTGTGACCTCTAGCTCTACCTTTGAATGGAGAATGAGCGTTCGGCAATGCCTAGCTTATTTTTGCGGTGAAAAAGACCGTGTAAATTTTCTTTTGTGACACCCTATATATATATATATATATATATATATATATATATATATATATATATATATATATAAAAACTGAGAAGAAAAAAACCCTTAGTGAAAAACAGCAACAACGGACGATTTAATCTTCGACGTTTCGGCCGGAGTCCGGCCTTCCTGACGAAGGCCGGAACGTCGAAGATTAAATCGTCCGTTGTTGCTGTTTTTCACTAAGGGTTTTTTTCTTCTGAGTTTTATACCCACGCCTTCGGCCTCCCGCCACCATGCCCGTTATATATATATATATATATATATATATAGAGAGAGAGAGAGAGAGAGAGAGAGAGAGAGATAGATAGATAGATAGATAGATAGATAGATAGAGATAGAGAGAGAGATAGAGAAATAGATAGAGAAATAGAGAGAGAGATAGAGAGATATTAAATGAAGGGAAGCGTTTCTTCTCGGTCATGCACGCGGCCATTTAACTTACCCGATGGTTTTATTCAGCACCTTCGCTATTCGGGGCCTTACTTAAAACTGAAGAATCTGTAGGATTTTTTTTTTTCAGTGTGATTATTACAAGCAGGTAAAAAACACACAACCACATTGAGAGCCTTGAAAACAAACTTTGGGGTCTCAAACCGCTCATCTTAGAGTCAAAATAATTGCTCCTTCATTACAACGCATGTCAACTGCAAAATAAAGAAGAGGGCCTGACGCTGCTTTGATATCATGTACTAAACAGATGCTTTTTCTCCATGTATTTTTAGCAGATCTCTATGCGTGTGATGATTTTTGTCGCACAGTATTGAATCGCACGCAAATACAATTCGTTTTTATAAATCCGATTAGTTTTCTTAGGCCTCCCATATTGCAAATCAATACAAAATCAAAATAGTATCATTCTGCAAACGATTCAAACTGCTGCAGACGGCATACTTGAGTCATTCCGCGTGCGTTTGTCATGCGTTTGTCGTCTGCAGCAGGTATTTCGAGACGTCTCGAGGACCGGATGTTGTCGTCACAAATATTTTAGAAACAGCCGATTCTCGGCAAACTTCTGTCGTGGCATGTTTCCAAATCTAGGCTCTATATCTATTCTTTTTAGACGTTTAAATTCCACGTCAGATTTTTGACCGATTCTTTTTTCGGAGCGAAATCCAGTCCCATTGTGATGATATGGGCTGAACAAACGACGAGGAAGACAACGCAGATGAACGCTGTCAACACATGAATAACCAAAGATGAAGAAGACTGCAAGACCGTATCAGGGAATGAGAATAAGAAAAAAGAAGAGGAGGACAACACGAGGAGAGTGAACGGGAGACACGCTCGAGGCGCTCGAAAAAGGCGGTTGGGCATCGGCACCCGGCTCAACACCAGCGGTCCCGGCAGTCTAGGAAGATTCCGGACGGGCGCCAACAGGCCCGTGGGGACTTTGAACCTGCACACCGTGGACCGCCGCCGTTAGCCAAGCTGCAGCTAGCAACTCTACGCCTGGTTCGACCCAGCCTGCCAGGCTCCCGAACCAATGTTACGACAACGAGGCGTCTTCTCGGCAATAACATCGTGTGAGCCGTAAGCGAAGTCGGCGGACTGAACTTTGTACATATTTTGATGACTCTCGTAACTTGTTTTCCTACTCTATCTGACTTTTATTTTTGATTTCTTACTCTGTAAATAACATCTTTCTTCCTACAACCACCGCTCCGGAATTCTGAGTTCCTTCCTTATCCATTCCCATCACAATCTGGCGTCCGCGACAGGACCTCTCTTCCTAACATCTTATAGAGAGCAGAATTCCAGGGCGGTGCTGTAAGAGAAATGAGTATGGATCCGGAAAAGATAGTAGCTCTGGGTAAAGAACTGGGATATACTGGGGGAGAGCTTCGCGACTGGGTTGAGCAAGAACGCAACCGGCAACGTGAAGAACGCCACCTGTTACGAGACGAAGCACGGGAGTCAGCTAAAGAAGCACAGGACGCGGCTGATCGCGAGATCCGTAGATTACAACAGGAGCGGGAAGTGTTAGAACTGCGACTCCGACTGCGAGACAGTACCAGTTCAGATCGCAATGAAAACGAGATGGGTACCGGTGGGGCAGAAAATCAGGAAGCGCAAGCCAATTGTCGCAGCCCTCATAAACTCATTCCACCATTCAATGATAAACGAGACGACTTGGATGCTTTCCTCCAGCGTTTTGAAAGAGTCGCAAGCAGCCAAAACTGGCCTCCTGCCAAATGGGCATTGTCATTAAGCTTGTGCCTCACCGGCGAGGCCCTGACTGTAGTTGGCAGGATGACTCCTGAGGAGTCCTTAGACTACGCAAAAGTCAAGCTAAGCCTGCTACAGCGGTTTCGCTATACGACCGAAGGGTACCGCGAGAAATTCAGGGATGGCAAACCCGAAGATGCGGAGACAGGGAGACAGTTCGCGGCTCGACTATTGGGATACTTTGACCGTTGGATCGAGACAGGAGAAACCCCTAAGACGTATGAAGGGTTAAGGGACCTGATAGTCTCAGAGCAGTTCCTGAAGAGATGCAACACAAAGCTATCTATATTCCTAAAAGAAAGAAACTGCAGGTCCCTGGGGAATCTGGCGACAACCGCAGACCACTTTCTTGAAGCACAGGGACAGACTAGCCTCTTTAAATTGAGAGATGATTCGGACCACAAGAGTGGAGGCTGTGGGAAAGAAGGCAATAAAACACAGCATTCTATAAGGGTAGCCAGTCGATGCTACCTCTGCAACAAACCTGGTGTGATGATCGCTACCGGAGGTAGCGGTTACACCACCCTTGGGGTCCCTTTTGGGGTAGAGAGGAGAAGAAATGCCACGAGACTCGGATTTAAATTAGGACGTTTATTGTCCGACTGGGGACGTAAGGTGTCCGCTCACCCGCTTGGGCCGGCGCTTGGAACCTGGCAGGTTGCACGTCATTCTCTCGTGTCGTGGCCTCTTGTCACACGGCACGGGCTGGTGAGGTCGGGCTGTGGCTGCTTGTCACCCGGCACGGGCTGGTGAGGTCTGGCTGTGGCTCCTTGTCAGCAGGCACGGGCTGGTGAGGTCTGGCTGTGGCTGCTTGTCAGCAGGCACGGGCCGGTGAGGTCTGGCTGTGGCTCCTTGTCAGCAGGCACGGGCTGGTGAGGTCTGACTGTGGCTGCTTGTCAGCAGGTCGCTCGCCGACGTCCGTCCCGGGACAAGCTTCAGTCGCCGAGCCCTGACGGCCGATGCCTTTCAGTCCTTCGTTTTGTTCCCTCCCTCGCAATCGGGGCAGGCCTCGATTGGGACGCTCTTGATCTCCTCCTCGTTCTCGAGCCTTTTTCCCCTTCCGGAACCTCCGTGACGCTCTTCATCTCCTCCTCGTTCTCGAGCCTTTTCCCCCTTCCGGAACCTTGACGGACGCCAACCTCTAAACC